TAAACATCCATGACCTAACTCAGATCCACTCGGACATGAATCTCCCAGTCCCTGATCCCATTCTTCTCACAAATAGCCATGATGGACTGGATGGTGTAAGTGTCTATTTATCTTTGTGTTCTTAAGCAGTAGGTTCTTGATCCTCTATTTCCTGGTAACTTGAAGATGTACATAGAAGACAATGGGATTCAGATATGAGGACTAGGATTCTTGAGTGTTATAGACATGATGGTTCAGTATATTCCTTTTAACCCCTGATTCTCACTTATAACATGAGGTGAATATGTTAATGCTACTTTTAGTGTTTGAGCGAGTTTCAAATAGGATTAACCTTAGGTTGCCTGACTTTTTCCATGGCTCTAAACAAGACTTTTCATACCTCTTTTCAATGTCTTGAGTCTTGTTATGGGATGAGAAATTCTTACTATATAATTACAGGCCCTGTCTTTGCTGTGCATCTTTAGCACCTAGTCCTCATTAGTCATATGTCCACATTCTGTTATAATACCAATGAAGTTGTATTGTTTTTTGCTTGCATCACTGTCTCATTGATAGACCTTGCACATCTGGAAGTCAGGAACTGTCTCCACTTTGTATTCTCAACTCCTAGTATTGTTCCTGGTACATAGCAGGTGCTAATTACATGTTTGTTGATTGAATATTGTCTTTATTTGTAGAACCAGCATATTTGTGCATATTTCTTTGATTATTTTCACCATGCCTTGATTCGTTTATTTTTCCTGTACTTCATCATCTTCCCTCTCCCTTGATTGCTTTGTGGCAAAAACCTTTTCTGAAAGCCTTATATGTACTTGGGAATTTGTGCAGAGATTAAAAGACAATCTATGGGATTGAGGAAGGGAGTAAACTTGCTTGAAGGGTATCTTGTGATGGGCATGTGAGTGTTGAAGGCAGGCTAATTCCTGCCTTTTTGTTCCTCAGCCCACTTATAAGAAGCGAAGGTTGGATGAGTGTGAAGAGGCGTTCCAAGGTAAGAGCTGCCTCTACCCCAGCTCAACAGCAGCCCTGAGAAATAGGATGGATCTAGACTTCAGTCAGGAAGCAAGATCTGATTTTATTTCTCAGAGTAATCACCAGTCCTCCAAACGTAGCCATTATTTAATGCTCTAAACTTGGTTTTCCAAAAAACAGAGTATTTGATTTAGTGTGGATTGCTAAGAGAGAACAATTAGAAATTGAAACTCCACATCTCAGATTTTTTGTGGAAATTCCAGTTCTGGGTTATTTTTTATACACACACACATGCACATACATATACATACACACAGATATATATATATATATATATCTATTGATGCATGCATCTCTTATTCTGATAGTGGTGTTGTGGTAGGACTGTGACAGATAAAAAGGAGTGGTCATAGCATCTCATGAGTGCAGGGAAGAAGAGAAAAAGGTAGAGGATGCTGAGGTTTTCCTCCCACCCTAATCATTTGACCTTCCTATCTCTGCCAGGAACAAAGGTGTTTGTGATGCCCAATGGGATGCTAAAAAGCAACCAGCAGCTGGTGGACATAATTGAGAAAGTGAAACCTGAGATCCGGCTGCTGATTGAGAAATGTAACACGGTAAGGCTGGGGCTAGTGACCTGTGGGCTGGCCTTAAATAGTTCCACTTGAACTGTGAAAACTGATGGATGCAGGGTTGGAGGCATGTGTAGGGGTTGGCAGACTAGGTAATCCTGAGTCCTGTGTCCCTAGCATCTAGCTCCAGCATCATGAATCATGGGCTTCAGGGTTTCAGCAGAAAAGGCCAAAGTCGTCATATGTATGTTTTGATCTCGCAATTTCCAGGTCAAAATGTGGGTACAGCTCCTGATTCCCAGGATAGAAGATGGGAACAACTTTGGTGTGTCCATTCAGGTAAGATGCTTGTATTACAAGGTTGGGGAGATACGTCATCTCCCCTGTTTTATCTATTTTCTCTTTGGGATTGCTGTATAGTAACATGGAAGTGGCTTTTGACTCACTTATTTTTGTTTGCTTTTCCCCAGGAGGAGACAGTTGCAGAATTAAGAACTGTTGAGAGTGAAGCTGCATCTTATCTGGACCAGATTTCTAGGTAGGGCTGCTTATGCTTGGCCCAATAACTCGCGGTTGTGAGGTGGTAGGCACTATTCAGGATCTCCTGCAGCTTCTTCCTCTTCTTTCTCCTTCCAGATATTATATTACAAGAGCCAAATTGGTTTCTAAAATAGCTAAATATCCCCATGTGGTAAGTGTTTGTGGCCAAAGGGTGGAGGTGGCAGGATAAGGAGGAGTGACATTACTGGGAATGAGCTATCTGAACAGTCAGATCTTGGGGACTAGCCTTTCTCTCTGCCTCTCCTCATAGGAGGACTATCGCCGCACCGTGACAGAGATTGATGAGAAAGAATACATCAGTCTTCGGCTTATCATATCAGAGCTGAGGAATCAATATGTGAGTAACTTTGGTTCTTGCCTGAAGTTGCCTTGACTTCTACTTCTTTTGAGAATTTTCTTAAAACTTTCTGAGGGTTGGGGGTAAAAGAAATAAAACAGCCAGATGCAGTAGCATGTGCATGTAATCCGAGCCACTCAGGACTCTTGAGGCAGGAGAATGGTGAGTTGAAGGATAGCCTAAATAACAGCAAGACCCCATCTGAGAACAAAAAACAAAACTGTAGAACAAATTCTGCTCATGAAGGGGTGCTGGGAACATGAAATCATTGAGGGGGGTCTACCTGGGTATCTCCTTTCTATCTAGGTGGGTGTGTATATGAAATATAGTGGTAATGGTTAGATCCTAGAGTCAGAAAGACCTAGGTTTAGGACCAAATTCCATTTATGATATGTGACTTCTGCCTTGTTCAAGCTTGACTTCAGTTTCTTTATCTCTAAAAGGGGATTTAATATCTACTGTATAAAAATAAGTTGTTAAAATAAGGGGTATCGTGCATTTAGACTCTGGGGCAATGCTCAGTCAGGCCCATTTGAATGATTTAAGAGAGGTAGTACAGCCAATCTGAATGCAGTTTCAGTGAGTGGGACTGGGATGACATGAATGATAGCTTGGGGATTTGTGGCAGTATTTCATTTTCTTGGTGAGGTAAGGGTTGAACAGATGTGTGATTCCCTGATCCCTCTTCTCCCAGGTCACTCTACATGACATGATCCTGAAAAATATCGAGAAGATCAAACGGCCCCGGAGTAGCAATGCAGAGACACTGTACTGAGGCCAGGGCCAGGGCCAGGGGACTCTGTGAGTCTGGCTCAAGACCGACATTGCCTTGGTTTGTTACATGACTATCGTGATGGGGAAACTGGCTGGAAATAGTAATCACACCTCTCTGTTTTTAGTTAGAGTCTAATGAAACTCTCATCTAGTTCCGTGATGTGTTTACCTCTTTTTTCAGGCCTCAGGAACTCTTCTGTCCTTCCYTAGTACCCTACACCCAGCTTGTCCTAATTTCTGGAGAACTCCCAKGTTTGTGCTTACAGGATATTGGCACAAGAACACTTGTGTTTTCTCTCTCCCCTTTCGCACTCTGCTTGTCAGACTTTGTGTTCTCTTCCTTTTGATTGATTGGTTAGAAGCTGAGGGAACTATAGGGAGAATGCTAGGTGGTTTTTAGGAACTGAAGTGTGTGTGKGGGGGGGAACCATCTCCTCTCTTCCTGTTGTAAGGCTAGATGGTGTGTCTTGCATCTGTGGGACATTGAATTCTCCCTGCCACAGTTGCCCTGGTGATAACTTAGAGTTTCCCTTTTATTCACATCCCACCTTGAACCTAATCGTGACAAACAACATCTTAGGCCTTCAATATCCTTAACACCCTCAGATGTTTTATAACTGGGGGTTTCACATACACATGTATATGCGTGTTGTACACACACATATGGATTTGCACACACAACTTCTTACTCCAATACCTTGCATACCTTCTTCTTCCTCTGTAGTCCCTTTYACACATACCCCTTTCAGGAGGTGATAGTTGTCTTAGTTGTCATATACCCAGGGAAAAGTCCTGGAGCCATCCTCCCTCCTGATATTGTTGCTGCTTGGTGCCCAGGGTGAGTTGGAGGAGAACTGAGAGTGGAGATCAAAGGGCTGGGTTAGGCCTGCTCTCTGACTTGGTCCTTCTGGTGTTATGAAATGGCTGGTCCTTTGACTCCTGATTGCCTTTTCCCAGACCAGTTGTACATTGGGGTGGGGTGTCTGCAACTGTGAGGTCTAGACGCTGCTGCTCCTTTGGGAAATATTTCTCTTATTTATAGTATTGTGCTTCTGGGGAAAKCAGCCATTTGTGTGTATATGTGTGTGTGTGTGTGTGCACATACATATGATGTATATATGTGTGCGTGTGGGAATATGCCAGGCAAGTCAAAACCATAGAAGAGTCAGTTGCCTCTCTTGAACCTTCCAGAGATATCATTTATTGTTACAGCTTTTTTGTTAACCCCCGTTTTCCCCCAGCTTTTATTTTCCTGCTAATGAGAGTTAATATCTGTGTCAGTCTGCCAGTGACTCTCAGTGTCTATTTCTGAATTTTATTCTTCCCTGTCTCTGTCTTCCAACCCCAATCATATCCATCTGGGATGCATCATTTTTACTCCCAGTATTCTGTAGAAAAGGAGCCGGGATGCTGTCTTCCCATGAATAGTGTTCAGTAACAAACCAATTGCATTTTAGTTGGGCAGTGCCCTTACCTACCTGTACCCCCGCATCCTTTCCAACTAAAACCCTTCCCTCCTCCCACYATGTGTTTCTCAGTTTCCCTTTTTGTTCAATTGTTCTGCTGCCTCCTCACCTTACTACCCTTGGATTGTAATGTAAAATTCTTTTACCATGTCAAGAAATTATTAAAAATACAGGTACTTTGACCTCTTTCTAAAGCTGGAGACCCTGGTGCCATGCTCTAGTGGCAAGGGACATACTGGTTCATGCATGCATATTCAGACACCTTCCTCCACAGACACCTCCAGCCATGCTATTGTGTGTCCTTTTGCCAACTGAGCTGCCTCTTTTTCTAGGTTAGTGGAAAGACTGAGACATGCCCACCAAGAGGGACGGGTGGGTCCTTCTTTTGTGTTCATTTTGAAATTATGTGAAAGTTAGCTCTTCCCAAACCTTAGCTGCCTTTTGTCCTACCTGCACAAGATCCCAGTTCCTTCCTTCCCATGAGCTGCCAGTAGAGGCTGCTATAGTTCCATGTGGGGAATGATGTGGTCAAGGAATATCCTTCTCAGTCAGACTTTTTCTTTACCTTATATTAATTCTCCTCTCTGAATAATGTCTTAAATTGTTGAGGAGATTCTGGTCTTGGTTTTAAAATTACTTGGAGGGCTGCTTAGGACTCTTATTTCCCTCTGAAATAAAGTTTCCTCATCTTGCAAGTAGCTTTATGGTTTCCAGTGATCCCATTGTTTCTGTAAAGAGTTTTAAGGTCTTAAACAATGAAAGTACATCTACTCTGTTCTCTTTCACAGATTAGTACCAATAGCTAGCAGTTTTTTGACTACCTACCCTGTGTTGGGTTGGTAAGCACTTGATGTGCATGATCATATTTAATCTTCAAGAATCTATTGGGTAGTTTTATGCCTTCTGTATGCCTTCTGTATAGGTGAGGACTCAGAATTTAAGTCTCTCCCCTAAGATCACATAGCTTAGGAAGCTGGAATCTGAATACAAAGGCCAGGCCCTCAACCTGTCCTCCTTTCTCACTGATTAGATAGAAGAAGCCTGAGGCTAAATCAGGGGATTGCCATTAGGTCACAGGCAAAACTGAGTGCTTACTGCTGAAAGGGGCAGTATATCCTGGAGCTACTGGGGTATAGTACAGTCTAGTGCCTGGCAGAAAGTTAAAAAAAAAATGGTTTAATTGCCTATATGTGTGATATGCAGAACTGAATTAGGCACCAGAGATTTGCTTTCTTCTCAGACCTATTCTGGGTGGAAGGTGAAGTTTCATATCATTAGCCCAGATGCATTTTCAACTGGTCTAAGTGATGGGAATCAGTGGTTGATACTGACTGCTACTAGTAGGAGTTCAGGGACAAGGAAAAAGCCAAACCACAGGGCAGAAAATTGGAACAAAATTATGCAAATCAGGTTAGACATTTCCTGTCCAACCCACAGGGTGGAGTTTTCTCCATTCGTATCCATCCTACTGAATATAAACACTGACTTGATGTCAGGAACTGGAAGGAGCTGCTAGCAGGATTCTGATTTTAGTTTTCAGCATCTACCATGAAGCTCAAGGTGGTTCTGGTATTCCTGGTGCTGTCCCTTGTTACCATCTTCACTCTGGCCTACATCTTGTTGACCAGGCAAGGTGGTTCCAGCCAGCATCCTCGCTGTCCCTCCGTATATCCCAGTGCCCAGCCCTGGACATACCCTGCCCAGAGCCAGCTGTTTGCAGACCTGAGCCCAGAGGAGCTGACAGCTGTGATGAGTTTTCTGGCCCAGAAGCTGGGGCCAGGGCTGGTGGATGCAGCCCAGGCTCGCTCCTCAGACAACTGTGTCTTCTCAGTGGAGCTGCAGCTGCCCCCCAAGGCTGCAGCCTTGACCCACTTGGACAGAGGGGGCCCATCACCTGCCCGAGAAGCGCTGGCCATCATCTTCTTTGGCGGACAACCCCAGCCCAATGTGAGTGAACTGGTGGTGGGGCCACTGCCTCACCCCTCCTACATGCGGGATGTGACTGTGGAACGTCATGGTGGTCCACTGCCCTATCACCGACGTCCCATGCTGAGATCTGAATTGGTACAGACATGGAGGCATTTGAAAGAGGTGGAACTACCCAAGGCACCTGTCTTCCTGGCTTCTGTCCTGAACTACAATGGCTCCACTTTGGCACCTCTACATTCCTCCCCTAGAGGTTTGCGCTCAGGGGACCGGGCTACCTGGATTGCCCTCTATCATAATGTCTCAGGTCTTGGTATTTTCCTTCACCCTGTGGGGCTGGAAATACTGTTGGATCACAGTGCCCTGGACCCTGCCCGCTGGACTGTCCAGCAGGTCTTCTACCTTGGGCACTACTATGCAGACTTGGGCCAATTAGAATGGGAGTTTAAAGCTGGCCGGCTAGAAGTGGTTAGAGTGCCTCTACCCACACCAAATGGGTCTTCATCCCTCAGGTCCCGAATCACCCTGGGCCCTCTTCCCCCACTTCATTTCTCACACCAGGGTTCTCAGTACAGTGTACAAGGGAACTTGGTGGTATCCCCCCTCTGGACATTGAGCTTTGGCCATGGGGTGTTTAGTGGCATAAGGATTTTTGATGTTCGATTCAAGGGTGAGCGAGTGGCCTATGAAGTCAGTGTCCAGGAGTGCCTGTCTGTCTACGGTGCTGACTCACCCAAGACAATGATGACCCGATATTTGGATAGCAGCTATGGACTTGGCCTTAACAGCCGAGGCTTAGTACGGGGTGTGGACTGCCCCTATCAAGCCACAATGGTGGACATCCACATATTAGCAGGCAAAGGGACAGTCCAGCTGCTCCCAGGGGCAGTGTGTGTATTTGAGGAGGTTCAGGGACTACCTCTTCGAAGGCACCACAATTACATTGAGAGTCATTTCTATGGTGGTTTGGCCAGCTCAGCCCTTGTGGTCAGGTCTGTGTCATCTGTGGGTAACTATGACTACATTTGGGACTTTGTGTTGCACCCAAATGGGGCGCTTGAAGGGCGGGTCCATGCCACAGGCTATGTCAACACAGCTTTCCTGAGTGGAGGAGCAGAGAGCCTCCTCTTTGGTAATCGAGTAGGGGAACGGGTGCTGGGGGCGGTGCACACGCACGCCTTCCACTTCAAGCTGGACCTGGATGTGGCAGGTGAGTATTCAGGGTGTGAAAATTGAGGGGTGGGGTTAGGGGAGGGGAGGGAATCCCTTAGGTTAAGCTGAGGTCTCTGAACAGCAAGGCAACTATGCCAACTCCACAGTGATTATGGAAGGGGAGAACCTGGACTGTGAGTGTAGTCAGCTAGTCTACGTCCGCGCTTCTGGGTATCTGGCCAAAGGTGTAAAGGGTTCTTCCACCCAGCCCCAACCTCCAGGACCAGCAGCAGTTGTGAAACTAGTTTAAATGTAATGTCTGTCTGGCTGCCTTAGCCTTGGGTGACACCTTGGGAGAGTGAATTAGCTCTGTCAGTTTGGATGGGGCTGGAGTTATGCACTTTGCTACTTGCTCAGTAATATTGAGAGTGAGTGGGGGTGGGGAGGACAGAGTTGAGCATAGGCAGAAAGCAACCTGGGGCTTGGAGGACAGGGTCTCATACTAGGGGTTTCTCCACAGTGCTAACTGGCCTTGTGGGGAGGGCTGCCCCATACCTGTCATCACAATGAACTAACTTTCCAGAGATGAGTCAAGATATGTGATAGGCTTGCTGCAAGTGTAGAAAGGAATTCTTAAAGAAGACTTGCTGCTCTTGACAGATCTTTCAAGGACAGAAAGCAAACTTGTCAAATCACAGACTTAGACCCAGAAAGAAAATTAGATATCTACCAGCCCCTCCTCATTTTATAGTTGGGGAAATTAAGGAGGATGGGGCAGGAAGTGTCTGCTCAAGAATAATGCAGTATAACTAAGTATTTCTTGTGAAACATTAGCCTCCTAAGTACAAAATCTGTACCCTGCATGCAATACAGGCTTGTGCTTGAGTTTGTGGAGGGGTGGTGGGAGGAAAAACTCAAACCAAAACACATCTGAAATAATCATATTAGCTAGATTACTCTGACATAATTGGACTATGACTTTTCCAATTGGAAGTTTCACTTCAGTGTTTTTGGCATTAAAGAGCCTAATTTTGGAAGTCAAGTCAGGTAATGTTAATGTTGAGTTGCTAGTGTGTGCAGCCCAGGCTGCTGCTGTGGGACCAGAAGTTGGTAGTTAGGTGCCAGCACAGAACTGCAGCTGGCAGAGGTGCTAGCCCCAGTGGAGTGCTTCACTGTCAGGTACCTTCCATAGGTCACATTTAAAGGAACTAACAGTCTCAACCTGAAGAGAGAGTGATCAAATACTGCATTGGGCAATGCAGGCTGTGGGTGCAATAGAATTCCAAGGCACTCCCAAACAAAAGACAAATCTGGCCGGGCATGGTGGCTCATGTCTATAATCCAAGTAACTTGGGAGGCTGAGGCAGGAGGATCACAAGTCAAGGCTAGCCTGGGCAACTGAGTGAGACTGTCAAAATAACAAGAGCCATGGATGTAGCTTGGTGTGGTAGAGTGCCCCTAAATTCCATCCCTAGTACTGCAAGGAAAAAGAAAGAGTTACAAATCTGCTGATTTTGAAAATGATCGGAAGCTTTCCCTACCTTGCTGGTAGAAAGCAGTCACAGAGCTTGGAGATCTGGGACTGTGGAAGGGGATTGAGTTTTCCTAACTAGTTTCTCCAAGACAGATTCCTTTCATAGTTAAAAGAATGTTACTACCCAGTTGCATGTGCTTTTCCATTTATTGGAAAAATAGCAACAAAACTGCTTTGATTATGCCTAGGGTAGAGATTCAGAAAGAATCAGAGAAGCAAATATTGGTATAAGATCTACTGGTGAGCTAATGGATCTTTCTGCAATGCTGGAAATGTTTGTTATCTGTGCTGTCATTATATACAAGAGCTGCTAGCCATATGTGGCTACCAAACAATGTAAACGTGGCCACTGCATCCAAGGAACTGAATTTTCAATTTAAAAAGCCACATGAGAATAGTGGTTATCCTACTGGACATGGCAAGTTAGAAGATGGTGGGGTAACACTGCTAGCACAGGGTGGTACTCTCCGATGTCAGGCCAGTGCAGTTAGCATTGTGGGGAAGATGGGCCTGTCCAAACTACCTTACTTGGTATAGAACTCCTTTCCCTTCCCTCACCCTGACAGGGCTGAAAAACTGGGTGGTAGCAGAAGACGTGGTGTTTAAACCTGTTGCAGTCCCCTGGAGCCCAGAGCACCAGCTGCAGCGCCCACAGCTGACACGGCAGGTCCTGAGAAGGGAGGATTTGGCAGCATTTTCCTGGGGAAGCCCCCTTCCCCGCTACCTTTACCTGGCCAGCAACCAGACTAATGCCTGGGGTCATCAGCGTGGATACCGAATCCAGATCCACAGCCCCCCTGGCATACACATGCCCCTGGAGAGCAGCATGGAGAGGGCCCTCAGCTGGGGGAGGTGAGGAGGGCCCTGGGCAGTGGGTGGTAGGGAAGGACTGGCCCTAACTCACTACCCATGGCTTACCATTTATCCCTGGACCTGCCCTCAGAAACAAGTAGAAATGGGGTGGGAAATGGACTCTCAGAATGTGATCCAAAGGACTTGTGGGCTAGTAATGGCTCTTGATATTTTACAAAACCACCTTCCTATGACAATTCCTGGTCAGATACCAGCTTGTGGTGACCCAGAGGAAGGAGAAGGAATCACAGAGCAGCAGCATCTATTTCCAGTCTGACATCTGGACACCCTCAATTGTCTTCGCTGACTTCATCAACAACGAAACCCTCTTAGGAGAGGTTGGTAGCTGTAGGTTCAGGAGGGCTGCTCCTCTATGCCTGTATCTTGGCTGCCCAGCCTTTAGCCATAGGTTATAGGGAATGGTTTCCATTTCTGATTTGGGGGCCAAGGAGTTTTCTGTTGACCAACGTGGGTCATCCCTCCTAGGGTGAGATTAGCCATGGGACACTGCCCACTTTCCAGCTGCTGGGCAGAGGTGTAAAACAGCCTGAGGGAGTTGTGACTGAGGGGTGGTTCTTTGGGTTTTGCCTCCAAAGTCCTCCAGCTCTTCCTTTTTCCTGCAGGATCTGGTGGCTTGGGTTACAGCCAGCTTCCTGCACATTCCCCATGCTGAGGATGTCCCCAATACGGTGACTTTGGGGAACAGAGTTGGCTTCTTGCTCCAACCTCATAACTTCTTTGATGAAGACCCCTCCATCTTCTCCCCTGGCAGTGTCTACTTTGAGAGGGGCCAGGATGCTGGGCTCTGCAGTATCAACCCTGTAGCCTGCACCCCCAACTTGGCAGCCTGTGTCCCAGACCTTCCCCTTTTTTCTTATCAAGGTTTCTAGATCTGAGAGTAGGGGGAAACAGGGGGTAGGGGTAGGGAGCAGCATCTGATGAGAGACACTTGCCTTCTCCATTCCCCCTTCAGTTCCCTGTGTTTTTATCACATTGCTCCTCAGACTCTTTACCCTCCGTACTCCTTAGGGAATATCCTCCTCCCAAGCTATAAAATCTCCATGTGTCACTTTGGTTAATTCTTACTGTCTGCTCATTTTGTAAATGACAAATTTATAAAAACAATTTTGAAATATTCAAGCAAAAACACCACAAATCCCACCACTCAGAATTAGCTGATGTTTGCATCATACCAGGCATTCCTTTATGCATGTGTATTAAAAAGGAATGGTTGTTATGTGTAATTGATAATAAAAAGTCTTATAAGAATTTCACTTGAGTTTGTTCTGTTTGACTTTTTAAGTGTGTAGAGTCCTCTAAGGAATACTGAGGACTCATGCCAATGAAATTAGCAATGGAGGAGAGAGTGCAAGGGGGGGTAGACCTGGCCAAGGAATGCTGCTTGGGAAGCTGAGGAGGCTGGAGGTAAGGGTTTGCTTGGGAGGAGAACAATAGTTCCTAGTTACAGGAAAGAGAACATCTGGCCCAGAGAAGGTGGGGCTTATAGAAGAAACCGGGCTGAGAGGCCCATGGACTGCTGGGCAGACCCACCTCTTTGCTGGTGGTGGATTTTTCTGCACAAGCTCTCTTTCTCCCCCTTCCGCCAGCCCCAGCTTTCCCCAACTCCAACCCTGACCTACAGAGCAGAGTCTGATTTGGAGCCTGGAAAACAAAGCCATGTAAGGTCTGTGGAAATTGCTACAGCCTGCTGAGACCGCCCCCCCAACTCTGGTGTGCCCCTCCCCCCGCCCCACCCTGCCTGCCTCCTCCTCTTCTGCAGCCTTCAGCCTAAGCAGCTGACTACCAGGAACTGCAGCCAGAGTCCCGGAGCCCCTGGTCCAGCAGCCAAGAGAGCCCCTCTCATGCTTGCCTGAGAATATACAGATTCACACTGGTAGAATCCTGCCCCATCTCAAGGGACAATGAACCAGAAGACCACCCTGGTGCTCCTCGCTCTGGCCATCATCACCATCTTTGCCTTGGTTTGTGTCCTACTAGCTGGCAGGGGTGGAGATGGGACTGAACCTAGCCAACTTTCCCATTGCCCCTCTGTATCTCCAAGTGCCCAGCCCTGGACACACCCTGCCCAGAGCCAGCTGTTTGCAGACCTGAGCCCAGAGGAGCTGACAGCTGTGATGAGTTTTCTGGCCCAGAAGCTGGGGCCAGGGCTGGTGGATGCAGCCCAGGCTCGCCCCTCAGACAACTGTGTCTTCTCAGTGGAGCTGCAGCTGCCCCCCAAGGCTGCAGCCTTGACCCACTTGGACAGAGGGGGCCCACCACCTGCCCGAGAAGCGCTGGCCATCATCTTCTTTGGCGGACAACCCCAGCCCAATGTGAGTGAACTGGTGGTGGGGCCACTGCCTCACCCCTCCTACATGCGGGATGTGACTGTGGAGCGTCATGGGGGCCCCCTGCCCTACCACCGACGCCCTGTGCTGATCCGAGAATACCTGGACATAGACCAGATGATCTTCAACAGAGAACTGCCCCTGGCTGAGGGACTCCTTCACCACTGCTGCTTCTACAAAATCCAGAGAAAAAACTTGATGACAATGACCACAGCCCCCCGTGGTCTACAATCAGGGGACCGGGCCACCTGGTTTGGCCTCTACTACAACCTCTCAGGGGCTGGGTTTTTCCTGCACCCTGTGGGGTTGGAGCTGCTGGTGGACCACAAGGCTCTGGACCCTGCCCACTGGACCATCCAGAAGGTATTCTATCAAGGCCGCTACTATGAGAGTCTGACCCAGCTAGAGGACCAATTTGAGGCTGGCCTGGTGAATGTGGTGGTAATCCCAGACAATGGCACAGGTGGGTCCTGGTCCCTGAAGTCCCCAGTGCCCCCTGGTCCGGCTCCCCCTCTGCAGTTCCATCCCCAGGGTCCCCGCTTCAGTGTCCAGGGGAATCAAGTGGCCTCCTCAATGTGGACTTTCTCCTTTGGCCTTGGAGCTTTCAGTGGYCCGAGGATCTTTGACATCCGTTTCCAAGGGGAGAGGGTGGCCTATGAAGTCAGCGTCCAGGAGGCCTTGACTATCTATGGTGGAAATTCTCCTGCTGCTCTGCGAAGCCGCTACACAGATGGTGGCTTTGGCCTAGGCCACTTCTCTTCACCCTTGACTCGAGGGGTGGACTGCCCCTACCTGGCCACATATGTGGACTGGCACTTCCTTTTGGAGTCCCAGACCCCCAAGACAATACATGATGCCTTTTGTGTGTTTGAACAGAATCAGGGCCTCCCCCTGCGGCGACACCACTCAGATTTCAACTCCTACTATTTTGGGGGCCTTGCGGAGACAGTGCTGGTCTTCAGATCTGTTTCTACCTTACTCAACTATGACTATGTGTGGGATATGATCTTCCATCCCAACGGGGCCATAGAAGTCAAAGTCCATGCCACAGGCTACATCAGCTCTTCGTTCCTCTTTGGTGCTGCCCAAAAGTACGGGAACCGAGTTGGGGAACACACGCTAGGCACGGTTCACACCCACAGTGCCCACTTCAAGGTGGATCTGGATGTGGCAGGTAAGACATCTTCATGGGGACAAGGATTGTGCAAGAAGGACTGAAGAGTTCCATTTGTTTGGGATTTTTTGTAGGTTATGCAGGAAAGAAAGAATTTTGATTTTCATGGTTCCCTTCTGGCTGTATGGGAGAAAGCTGGCTGTTGAGTTTTATTTGGATCTTAGCTTGCTGTCTGGGAACACAACTGCCAGCTTTCCTCCATGTGACCCCGTTAGAAAATCTTGGGAATCAGCTGGGTGCTATGCTGCACGCCTATGATCCAAGAGACATGGGGGACTGAAGTAGAAAGATAGCAAATTTGAGGCTAGCCAGAGCACCTTAGAGAGATCCTGTCTCAAAAAATAAACATCTGAGCTCTGTGGGGTATGCCACAAAGGCTGAAACAGAAGTATCCCAATTTCAAGGCCAACAAGGCCCTCAGTAGTTTAATAAAATGAAATTTATTGAAAATAAAATAAAAAATAAAAGGGCTGGTAATACAGCTTAATGGTAAAGTGCCCTGGGTTCAATCCCCCAGTATTGCAGTAAAAGAAAAAAAAAAAAAAAAGAAAATCTTGAGAAATGGCTAAGTCAGGATGGAGCCAGGGTCTGTTCCCTATTATCTCCTATGCACTTATGTGGGCCCCACTTCAGGGAGGCAGCTCTTGGTTTTCCGGCTCATTTCTCTGTGTCTGGACCATAGTGCTGGTATGTTAGAGGATCTGTTTGCATTCTGCTGAGTCCCTGGCACAAGGAGACCATCATGGAACAACCTAGGTTGTACATTTCCTGGGAGATGTGTCCTCCTCTTCCCTGATTTTCTATTACTCATTCTGGCCACAATTAACTTAATTGTGAGAGGTAGAATGAATAGTGTGGAGAATTCCAGGAATTTCCTGAAGTTGGTCAGTCAAGGCTACATGATGTCTTGAAATTTCTGTCTTTGTCTTTTCACTTCCCTCCTTTAGTTCATTATCACTGTTTTTTTCCCCTGCTCTGCCTCTGCAATATCTCAGAACCCTCGCTGGTGACCCCTATAGATGTCAGCCCTCTCTCTGCTGCCTCCACTCTTGATGCTGTCAGATCCAGGGTCCACTCTGTGCTGAGAGGGCTACCCGTGCCAGCCTGCTATTTACATAGCTCCCAACTTACCCAGCCCCTGCAGGACATCAGCTACAGAAAAAACTACGAGGGTCATCCCCTCTTGGAGGAGCTCCAACCTGCCCTGCTTGACCACAGCCACACCCACATCCTCCCTGTGCCTGAGCAAACAGGTTATAGTTAGTCTTCTTGATTTTGGCCTAGGCTTTGTCCATGCCTAGAATGACCCTCCATGTCATTTCTTTTGGTGACATCCCTTCAGGCTAGGCAGAAAATTTGCCCCAGATGGGCCATATCCCTGCCTGCACCTATATTCCTGTAACCCTGACTCTGCTCACCTGTGCCCCTCTCCCATTATAGGGTAGGCAGTGATTTCCTGTCTTTGTCCCCTGGTACAACAGTAGGGTTAGGATGGTGTTTCATTCATCTCTGTCCCCAGGGGCAAGCACAGTCCTGTCTGCTAAAGAATGTTGAAAGGACCAGGCACGCTTGTAATCCCAGCAGTTGGGAGGCTGAGACAGAAGGATCTCAAGTTCAAAACCAGCCTCAGAAACTTCAAGGCACTAAGCAATTCAGTGAGACCCTGTCTCTAAATAAAATACAGAATAGCTCTGGGGATGTGGCTCAGTGGTTGAGTGCCCCTGAGTTCAATCCCCAGTACCAAAAAAAAAAAAAAAAATGTTGAAAGGGGCTGGAGTGGTACCTCAGTGGTAAAGCATTTGCCTAGATGTGTGAAGCCCTGGGTTCAATCCTCAGCACCACATATAAATAAATAAAATAAAGGTATTGTGTTCATCTACAACTTATAATAATAAGAAGAATGCTGAAAGGAAAATGAATGAAATATTGAAAAAATATTTTAATTAGAGATCAACATCTTCCACTGGCAGGTTGGGGTTGTCTCAGAGGGAAGGGAAGCAGGGGCCACACTCTGTCCTGGGATGCTCTTTGACCCCCCTCTGAAGCCAGGTGGGGGAGGACTCCAGGGGGACCAGGGCAACTACATGATCAGCCTTCCACCCTCACCCACCCCACACAGGACTGAAGAACTGGGTCTGGGCTGAAGACATGGCCTTTGTCCCCAYGACTGTGCCCTGGCACCCTGAACRCCAGGTACAGAGAATGCAGGTGACCCGAAAGCTGCTGGAAACAGAGGAGCAGGCTGCTTTCCCCCTGGGAGGGGCCACTCCCCGCTACCTGTACCTGGCCAGCAACCACARCAACAAGTGGGGTCACCCACGAGGCTACCGCATCCAGATACTTAGTTTTGCGGGGGAGCCACTGCCCCAGAACAGCTCCATGGAGAGAGCCTTCAGTTGGGAGAGGTGAGTGGTGGGCTGTCAGGGCTGCAGGAGGTGAGAGTGGGAGGGAAGCATTGGAGGGACACTAGTATCAGTTGGGACTGTACTCACGATGAGATGAGATCTCAGCATTTCTTAGCTATCAGTGTGCCCAATGGGGCTCATTTCTCTTTGGAAGACTAAAACTGAGAAGTGAAGACTTATTCCTGTTTTGGATGGGGGAGGGACCATGCAGTAAAATGGCAGGGTGACCAACAGGAAGATGGAACCCTCTAGGATGACATCAGGAATTCCGCAGTCCTGAGTTGGTATGTGAATGGGAGGAAAAAGCTGAAGTCTGAGCATCCAGATTCCTTTTATCATGATCAGGCAGCAGAATGGGGTTAGTGACAATGAAGTCCTGAGCAGTCCCCCTCTAGGTACCATCTGGCTGTGACCCAGCGGAAGGAGGAGGAGCCCAGTAGCAGCAGCATCTTTAATCAAAATGACCCTTGGGCCCCCACTGTGGATTTCAATGATTTCATCAACAATGAGACCATTGCTGGAGAGGTGAGCTGACTTGGGGGGGCGGGATATCAGAGGGATGGAGGTACAAGGATGAGTCTCACCTTCTCTTGGGAGAGTCCCTGAAAACCAAGGGATCTCAGGTGGAGCGGACACCTGCTTTCTGCACTTTAGTGGACCTGATCCTTTTCTCTTGAGAACCTTCCTGAGATGGGAAGTCATATGCATCAGATGGGTGAGGAGCAGGGCCTGTCCTCCAAACCCTACAGCACTTGAATTCATGGACTGAGTCCTTTTCAAGCCCCAAGACTCAAGCAGGGCTGGAAATTAATAGAGAAGACCACAGCTCTGCACTTTGAGCTTCTTCCATTCCTTCCTTGACCATTAAAGAGTCTCCATGGCAGCCTGCTTCTGCTTCTCAAGCCCTGTCTTCCCTCATCCAATCCTTCTGGCTTGAGTTGTAATGTGGGAACCCTCAGAGAGATGGGGGTGGGGAGAGCAGCTGAAGTAGCCTTCGGGTTGGTAGGCAGAGGGCAGAGGGATAGGAAGCGTCAGAGATGGAGGGTGCAGGCCAGGTACAGTACACTATGAAATTGACTCTTCATGCTTTGACTTTGGGGTCAGAAGGGAAAATATTTAAAGGTTCAAGAACCATGGGTTGGTGAGCTGAAGCCTTCCCTGAAGGGCCACTGGGGTGGGCAGGGCATATCCCTAGAAAAGCCTGACCTCATGATCCTCTTTCTTCTCCCCCTGATAGGACTTGGTGGCCTGGGTGACAGCTGGTTTTCTGCACATCCCACATGCAGAGGATATTCCCAACACGGTGACTGTGGGGAATGGAGTGGGCTTCTTCCTCCGACCCTACAACTTCTTTGATGAGGACCCTTCCTTCTACTCTGCTGACTCCGTCTACTTCCGGGAGGACCAGGATGCTGGGGACTGTGGGATCAACCCCCTGGCTTGCCTGTCCCAAGCTGCTGCCTGTGCCCCTGACCTCCCTGCCTTCTCCCATGGGGGCTTCTCTTACAACTAGTTGGTTCCTGGGATGGCCAATCTGACCAGAGGCTGAGTCAGGTTAGGATGGCTGGGGCAGCAACTGGACACTGGGCAGGGCAGCCTGTTTCCCTCTTCTCCTTCCTTATACCTCTGATGTCTCTGTCAAGGTCCTCTCTCTTCCACTGTCCTCCTTTGCCTCCTCCTCCTGGAGCATTCTGATCCTGAGATGCCTGACATAAGAACACTGGGCTTGGTTGGTCCCAGCTGTGCTGAGTTCCTACCTTAGGGAGAGGAGGAATGACCCAGCCAGGGGGCTGGAGTAATAGCTATGCTTTTCTTCAAATGCTTCTCTCTTTAAAAAAAATCTTTTATTTCCAAATATTTAGATGATTTCCAAGGACTCTGCAATGGAAATAATTCCCTAGAGATCCCAGGGCAGGGTGCCCATCAGTCCTGCATGTCCACAGATGAACTAGAAGGGACCCTTTGCCCACATTCCCTCTATCCAAGTCCCTTCCTTCTCTCATCCTTACCCCCTCTTACCCACTGCCTCCTTCTTGAGTGCCTGCCTGCTTTTGTGTTCTGGAATTTCCCCTCAAGTCCTGAGTGCTTGTCCCTCTATCCTAGCCCCCATGTTTTCCAGTCCTCATTTCTCAACTACAGTCTCTTCTGGTCCTGAGATTATGGAAGTCTCAAAGATGCAATGGGACAAATCATTGAAGAGGATAATCCCTGTCTGTCACATATCAGGAGTAGGAGTTGCCCCCACTTCTGATCTGGAGCAGGATGTGTTTCTGGAAAGTTCTCTCTGCCCATTTCATCTGCTGGCCCTGTACTCTCTTGATGAGAATGTTCATAGTGTGAGCAGCAACTCAACCTAGCATTGCAGGTGGTTTTGGGTAATGAAAAATGGTCATCTTGTCTCAGGGTTGTGTGACCAAGATGCAAGAAACCCTGGGAACTCCACCCTCAGGCCAGGGCTGTCCAATCATGTGCAGACATGTAAATGAGCTGGGGACTCTAATGGGGAGGAGCCTGACCTGGAGGGATCTGTTTGTCCCTCCTGGGGTTTGGCCTGGGATGGTTACAGTAATATCAAGAGATTGGAAACAATAGAAACATTCCTCCCTAGGTAATTGGTCAAAACAATACTTGCAGGTGTGTTTTTTTTTTTTTTTTTTTGGTACCAGGGGTGCTTAACCACTGAGCCACATCCCCAGCCCTTTATTTTTTATTTTGAGACAGGGTCTCATTGTGTTGAGGCTGGCTTTGAACTTGTGATCCTTCTGCCTCAGCCTCCCAGAAGCTGGGATTGCAGGCATGTGTCATCCTACCTGGCACTTGATGCAATCTTACAGTGCAATACTATCCAGCTAAAAAAAAACATGTGTCTTTAGGTATTAATAATAAATAATCTTCAAGTAAAAAAGGAAAGGCATAGGAATATGTATAGTGTACATTTCCTGTTTGTTTTTGAAAGAATGAGAATATAAATACATATTTGCTTATGTACGCATATTTAAGAGAAATGGGTAACACTGATTACCTCTGGGGAGGGGGCAGGCTTGGGAGGGGACTTAGCACTGTATACCTTTCTGTACATTTTGAATTTCAAACCATGTAACTGTATTACCTCGGAAAAATAAGTAAATTGGCTCAAATGGAAAATGACCTTTAGTGACAGGCTTTTGGGGAAGAGATAGGTGGTCAGGGGGAGAATAAAATGAAGGGGTAGGCCCAATTTTCAAGTGTTTGAGAATCAGAGAAGTGAGTATGGCATCTAGTACTTTCTTTGCCCAAATTTTAATTTTCAGTCAACTACCCACCCTTCTCCATCTGCCTTTGAGAGGAGAGGGCAATGAGAAGGAATAGGGTAGGGGGACTTCTGTTTGCTGGAAGCCAAAGGTCAGGAGATAAAGTGCAAGAAACAGTTTTGAATGCTACTCAGCTTCTGACCAGAGGGAGATCATGTTCTGGGAGCTGGGACACCACCAAAGCTTTTGTACACTTGGGTCTGTTCTCCCCCAAGTCCAGGCCATCCCTTAGGTCAATGGTGCTGAGGGCCATTACCAAGTAGGTATGACGCATCGTAATCCTTGCCAGTGTACCCCATGTTAAATGGACTTGCCTTGGAAATTTGCTGCGACCTTGCTTGTGTGTTTGAGAAAGGTGACCCTGCTCAATCACCAGGGTGGATCCAGGATTAGGGTGTATTCCTGCAGGAAGTATCTCCGTCCTTGGGTTTAGGGCGTGACAATAGGAGTTTT